GGGCGCGCAGCGCGCAGGTGGGTCGTGTTCGCCTTGGGTTTGGAAAGAAACGACGCACCCCGTTTTGTTGGTGTCGTTTCTTTTCTGTTATTCTTTCAAGACCTCCTCCGTTTCGCCGCGTCCGCTCTGCTCCTCCCTTCCTCCTCTCTGGTCCACCCGCCGCCGCGTTAAGCGTTTCAGTCCAGCTGCGGGAGCTCTGAGATGACTTATCCCGCTGTGGTTTTGTGCACTGACCTCAGATCTCTCCTCGCCCGCGCGTGTGTGTGTATTGGGAGGGGAGGAGGAGGAGGGGGCGGCACCGCGGAGGGTCTTGGGCGGTCTTGGGTCGTTACTGGCAGCAAACCCCATCGAATGTTTCCTGCCGATTGCCGATCTTGCTATTTCGAAACGGTAGAGGCCCGCGGTGGTGTGGGCCACGCTCGATAAGTCTGTGTGTGGTTAATGGTTACGTTTGGATTACGATTCTTTTCAAGTTTCATCAAAGCCGCGATCGCGAACCTCCAAGGCTGGAAAAATAAAAACTCAGATATGCACCGACTTGAGTGCCGAGTGCCGAGCCGAGTGCCCTATGATGGTCAGTCTTGTTTGGGTGAAGGAAAGGAATGTGAACTGCAGCGGTGGAGGTCGTGGGTGGGTCGGGCGTGCTCGGGTCTTTTTTTCGCAACTTTTCCTGCTACCTCTCGGGCATATGACCTTGGGCCCCGTATGGGCAGCGTCGTTCTCACGAGGAAGTGCGGCGCCCCGCCTCGCGCGCCAGACAATACCTCGTCATATGGCATGTGCAATCAACGCGGCCGCCGAAAGGCGTCGGTTAACTTTTAATTTTGCTGGATTCTTTGAGGATTGGTTACTTATTTCTCAGCCGCCAGGCCCGGCCCGCGGTCCGACTGCGCGCGCGTGTCTTCTCGTCATGACCGGCCTTGTTAATTTTCAAGTGGTGCGGCACGGAGCGGCCTTGCCCCCTTGCCACCCACTTTTCCCCGCTCCACCCCCACCCCGCCCACTTGCCGTGCTGCTTGTTTTTTCTATTTCTCCCTCTGGGGTATTTTTGCGACCCCCTCCCCCAACCTTTGTGCCCTTCCCGCTTCAGCTTCAGCAAAGCACCGCCTCGGTTATCTTGAGCCTTAGAAACAAATATCACACCCCTTCCCCCTGCAGTAGAGTCACTGCGGGAATTTTTAAAGTAGATTTCCATTTCTATACATTATTTTTGGAAACGTTTTCATTGCTGTGAACTCGTGTTTGCAAGTTTTATTTTAAAACAAGAACCTGATGTATTTTTGTTAATCTAAAAATATGATTTTCTCTTGTCTAGCGACCTTTTCCGCCCTTCTTTTCCCCGCTCATCCTCCGGCATTGCGCGACCTTTGCGGTTTATCTACGACCATATGCACGCTGGGGCCCCGGGACCCACTTCTTAAGTTTAACACTGGTCCGTGATGGTGTTCATTTTTAATTCTGAGTAGATTGGACCCAGTGTTAGTTCCAATGGAAGTTTGAAATCTTCCATGGGTGTGATATAAGTGCGAAATTTGGGTGGATTGCTTGAAGTAGGTATTTACAGGCCTTTCTGACGTAACGGCTGCAAATACACTACGCGCAACTCTAATACTTCAAATTTCCTCTCAAAAAGAAAAGAAATGTAGTCTCGACGTGCTGCTTGAGATTGCCAAACCAAAGATTGTGGTAGGTTGGGTATAGACATAGCAGAGGATGCCTGGCCACCCGGTATGTAATATGCATGACTCTTGTCTTGAAAGCCACAGACGCCGAGTCCTTTGTGCATTTCTCTCTACTACTGATACTGGCGATAATGGGCATGAGTGTTCACACCCGCGATTACGCGATCACGTTCGCCCCGCGATTAGCGTGCCGCGGGGGGCGGGGCGGTGAGCAATCTGGGAGCGGGCGGGG